TGAAAAATGCTTTCCATTTGTGTAAATTTAACTTAAAATATTACGCACTTGATAATGACAGCTTCAAAGGGGAGGGGGAGATGTAACTAGTTCAAAAAGCCTCAAGAAATAGCCTTGAGCACTAGGTTAGGAAAAGGCAGACGCCAATGATGCACATGCATGCGGAGCCGAGCGCACCGCACAAGATAAAGCAGAAGGATTAATGGAAATTCGGCATGTGTTGCTTTAAAATCAAATCAATCCTACGGGATTTAACATTGTTTAATGCAATCATTAATGCCATTAAATATTGAAGGTGTATCAATGCATGTTGCATTTATTTTTTTCCTAAATGAAATGCATGTTCGATTTTTTTTTTCAAAAAGGAAAACAAAAACTAACTGAACTTGATATCCTCCTAGTTGAGAAAAGTCTTGACTAAATTTTTTCGGTGGTTAGGTCCTCCTAATCATAGCATGTTATTAGGTTCTACAGTTCACCAGGGCCATACATATATCAAACAATAAACTATTATTTGCACGAATCGCGCTCTCTTGCTATACTGGAAAGCAATGACGGAGGGAATGCGTCAGTAAGGATTTTCGTCTTTTAAAAATTTTAAAATTTTATTTTTATCATAATTCTTTTTATTTAATGAAATTCTTTCACAGTAATTAGTCAGCAACTCATTTTTAATTCATCTCTAACTGTACAATCTTGACTCTGTCATTAATGGAAGGTTAAATAAAGGAGCATGATTCCCAATAGCTAGGTTTAAATTTCTTTCTTTCCAAATCAAAAAGAAAAAATTAAAGTAAATGAAGGAGGATTAATTGGATCGATCAAAAACTTAATCTGGTCTTCAGCTTATGTCTACACTAGGTTTATCGCTTCAGCATATGAATTCTGACTTTTGACTTTCCAGGCAGACCCGACGGCGTTGCTTAATTGGGCTGGCTTGTTTTCCAGGCCGAATTTCCTTCAAAGTCAATTGGATCGGAGCTCAATTGGGCTGACTTTACTCTTTGGACTCTTCACTGAAGTGGGTTGTTGGATTATGCGGTGAGGCTTACTAAAACTCATTGTCTTTAATAAAGGGTAATGATCCTATGGATTTGATTTTATGTAAGTTATCCTAAAATCTTAACATGACTTAACTACAATCAAGTAATCCTACTTCATAACAACTACATAAAAATTACTTTTATATGATTTAATTCCACAAATTTATCTTTTTTGCTTAGTAAATGCTTATTAGGGTTATGTTTAAAATTAAATTATTAAATTTATAATTTTGAAAATCACAAAACATAAAAACCTAAGCCCTACAACCCTTTGCTTATGATATTATAGAAAAAGAGGATAAGAATATTCATTTAAGTTTTCTAGAAAAAAATGAAAGAAAATTGTTTTGATGAAAAATTCAAATTTGTCAAACTAAATTATTTTAAAATAATTTTTATTTATTTACCGTGAATTAGATTAACGCAGTTGTAATTAAGTCATATAAAAAATTTTATGATAATTTTCACATAACTAAGTTCATGAAATCATTTTTCTTTTTGAATTACTGGCAATATTTTTCTTTTTTTTTTTCGAAATGAAATCTAAAATAATTAGGATATGAACAATTCCATTATTTACAAAGAATATGAAATATAAATAAAATTATGAATATTTTCTTTAAAAAATAAAAAAGGCAATCTGATATTTTAACATTATTTTTAAATATTTCATTATTAGTTAAGAACTTATGAATATTTAATAACTTTATTTCTTTTATTAGTTTTTGCACATTAAAAGAAATTTTAATAACACAATAAAGAGTGGAACAGAAAAAAAAAAAAAA